CTTGTTTTTTTTTTTTTTTTTCTAGAATATCCTGGACAAGTTCAATCCTGGCGCCAGGCAGCTGATCAACGCAGGCAAGGCGTACCTGAAGGCTCTTCACGGTGAGTGAATTAAATGGAGTGTGCATCTCGAAAAGAGAGATGGAAACGGACGGGTTTGACTCGCGGGTGGAAAGAAGACAGGTGCACAAAGAATGGGAAGAGAGGATGGAGAAGTTCGCGTTAGCCTCTTGGGTCCTGTTGCAGGATCGAATTGCCAGCTCGTTAGCATTGCAAGCTTTTGCCCCTCCTCCTTACTCGTCTTCTTCTTTTTCCACCATTGCAGCGCAATTAATTTATTTTAAATAGAAATATTAACGGGTTAATGATATATTTAGGATTTCATACGCTGTTATTTAATCAGACAGTGATTAATAATATCAAACATTTTCGAATTGGCGATATTAAATCTGGAATATAACCACAGATATCAAATTTTAATATTGTGTAATTTTGTACTCGACAACAAGATACAAATTTCCGTTTTTAATTTTTTATTATTTTTTAATTAGATAATTTGATGTGTAAGAACAAAATTTTGATCGTTGAGCGCATATTTTTGATGTCGATTTCAGAATAAATATACTCCGTATTATATTTCTACCCTGTGCGCCGCGTTGGCCCTATAACACGTGTTTACTCCTCTTTCTACCTTTCGCACCTTCGCGGCCTTTCGTGGCCGGGTCAGATCAATCACCTTTGGGGATTAACCCGCTGACCCTGAAACGGATAGCTTGCGTGCCGTAGTCGTATGAGTCGCTTATGGGATATATCGCCCCTGGTGTTCTTGGGGATGGAAAAGGAAATTTGATGATGAAGATATCTTTGTATATATCTTTCGACATTTTGTATATCTTTTGACATTTTTACATGCAAAAAACAATGATTTTTATCAATAATTGATAATATTTTGTAATAATTAAAAAATATCTTTTTTTGTGAAATCTGAAGAGAAATTGAAAGATTTTATATGAAATTTTATTAAATTCAAGTTATTCGAGAAATATAATTTAAAATTGAACGAAAAAAAATTTGAAAAATATTTAATTCTGCGGGATTGGTTAAAGGAATTAGTATTTAAAATTTTTCAAGTGTAGAACATCTAGAAAATTGTTGAATATGAAAGAGCGTTGATAATATTTTACAGGACAAATAATTCCGAGTAGCCCGGAACAAATATTCCGCAAATAATTCCGGACGATCCAACAAATATTCTCTTTAAAATAAAAGAGTTGTTAATAATAACGATCGTTTTTTAGCAATTATAGCTAACCGTAATATTTGCAAATCGCAGGGCATCAATATATCGAGCGATTTTCCGAGAGTTTCTCACGCCGAGCCAGCGATCCTCATTGGCTGGGAATTTGTTTAAGGAGCGCCGGGGAAAATAGTACTCGGAAAGCAGTTTGCGCAGCGGCACAGTCGGCTTTACATCAAAAGTGACTTAAAAGTTTCGCGCAGGTCTTTGATGTAACAGTATTACTCCCGTCTAGAATGAATGCGAGATGCTTCCGCGAAAGGCAGCTCTCGTCATTTCCGGCAGATGAAAATCGACTGGCATTCGTGCCAGCCGATGCCACGAAGCCCCCGAAGTAATTTCATTATTAATTTTCTCTTTTCTTCCTACATTTTTATATTTCTGTTTCCTTCGATTTTTCCTGTATATACGGAAAGAACACTTTTGCTGGCTTATTTCAACCTCAATTGATAACCCTAATATAGATAATAATTTTATTGGATCTTTAAAATTATATAAATTATATATATAAAATTATATATTCAAATTAATTGATTGAAGATAAAAAATTTTTGCAGAATTATTATCATGTTTAAGCGTTCTATAATAATTTTTATACTCCAACAAAATTATTTTCAGATTCTGTATCTGGTCAACTTTTAGATTTACCAGCAAAACTGTTCTCTCCGTGTAACTTTACAAACTTCGGGTCACGGCTTGGAATTATTATATGAACACGTATAGCGCGTGACATGATATCGTTTTTTCAGACTATTCTGGAAGAATTCGGCTCTACCATTCTACGATAAGATCGCCGATATAAATTACGTTATTATCACATTCGATACTTTGAGGGTACCGCAAATATCGAGACTGAATATCGAAACTTCTCACGAAGGGGGATAAGCTCACGACGCCAATCCGCTGCCGGCAACTTTATGGAACGCTTTATGGAAAAGTTCGGACAAACAGAACCGCGATAATTTCTTCAGCGGTGGTGGCTCGCGAACTTTTTTATCTCGACGCGATTAGGGCTGCGAACCGGATGGAGGCTGAGTGGTGGTTCGGAGGCAAGAAGAGGAACATGCTCGTGGAGTTGAGCGTGGTACAAAGGATGGCGCAACTTCCTTTAACGAGTTCCGCGCCGAGAAAGAGAGCTAACTCGATTAGGAATTAATTTTTGACGAGCTGCGGAAGACGAGACAAAGGGGAGATTTCTCCAAATGACGAAAAGGTGGGGAAAGAGGGGAGGACGAGGTGAAAGAAATGTTAGGAATTAAGATGAAGAGCTCCTCGGTCCTCTCTTCAGAGAGATGTATTGCATCCGACTTTCCCTCGATGTCATTAGATCTTTAATTTCTCGCTGTTAACTATTTGATTTCTGTCTGATATAAAAATGATATTCAAAAAGACTTCTACTATATCTATTATTTAACAACTCCTTTATTTAAAGAAAAATATTAATACCTTCTGAAAAAAATTGTTGATTTATATTTTTCAGTAATTAATAATTTTACAAATATTTTACATCTTTTCTAATTTTAATGACTATTAATTTCTGAGACAACTTTTCACTTACGATTTTTGGATAATTAAATTTTTTTAACATTTTCTTTTAACTTTGAAATATGTTTTTCAAATAATTTGAACTCGGATGAATTTTCGAGTGGAATCTCAGCCCAGCCCTCCTTAATGAGCCAATCAAACTCCGGCAGCGTTATCAAAACGCGGTTTGCCAGCTAAAAACGGCGAATTTACTCCGAGTCGTCTTTGTTCTCTGCGGAATTAATTTGTTCCACTGGAAGGAACTCGCCGATTGTCGAACTTATACCCAGATCTCGCAACTCATACCCCCGCGCCATATACACGGCACCCTCTCAGGAGCCGACTCTGCGACAATTTATAACGAGTCGTCGAGCCACTTTGAGGGCTCAATCCTGCAAGGAACTTGGTTCCTCCTCCTCTCTCCTCCCTATCCTCTTCATCCTCTGCATCCTTTCTCCAATTCTGCCTGTCTCCTAAAGACGCCACTTAAATACCAGGAGTTCCGCATTTCCAGTCGATCGAAGGATGCGCGAGACGTCTTTTCGAGTATAGTTCCCTTTGCGTATGTTAAAGCGCTAGAAATGGACGGAATTTTAGGATGACGATTATTTAGAAAACTCGTTTGCATTCTAAATGTACGACATGATAAATAATTAAATAATGTACGATCAAGCGATTGTAAATAAACACGAGATTACTCGTGATAACTGTCGCTTATAGTTAAGCCACGTCCCGCGGGTTTGCAGATCGCGGATTTTGTCGCGAGGGATGATGGACGAGTGTCAGGTGACCGAGGGCGGGAAACGCGACGATGGTCGACGATCGCGAGGGAGGGATGGGGTTAGCGAATGTGATTTGAAAAGTTTTCTCGTTAAATAGCGCAAAAATGCGCGAGAGACGTCGAACGTGGACAGAAGGGTGACAGTGATCCTGGGTGCAGGAGGTGGAGGTGTAGGAGGAGGAGCAGGCCACATGGAAAAGGGTGGGCGGGAAGGGGTGAATGCCCAGTGTGGGGCGGACAATGACAAGCGAGGGTACCGACTGATTTTAATTATGGAATCTGTGCAGGTGAAACGCTCAATTTTCCCGCCGGCACATGTCCACCCGTTTTCCCCTCTGTCTTCCTCTCTCCCTCTTCTTTTCCCTTCCCTTCTACGCTCCAACTCGCTCCCGTCGTCTCTTTTTACCCCTGCAGTTTAAACCTGCGAGGCTTCGCGATTTCAATTTCGCGCCATCTCTTTACCCCCTTTTCCTCCCCTGCTGATCATCATTTCCCCTTTCGGCCAGTCGCTCTTTAATATCGATTTCCTCTCGAAGGGTCGAATATATATCGCGAGAGTATCGAGTTACGCGAGCCGCACTCGCGACTGTCACTCGCCCCGTCGTTTGTTTTACACTTTGCGGAGGTCAGGGGAAAGGGGAGGGTAGGTAGAAAGGGGGTGTGTAAACGCATACGAAATGTTCGCTATCGCGAGCTGTATTGTTTGTGCGATAACAATAATGCCGGGTACTTTGAGAAAAAAACATTTGTACTTTAAATACTTATTATATTTAATTTATTAATATGAAAAATATTAATAACAAGGCATTTCTAATACAAATACGTTTAAATTATTTTCTTTTTTCGCAATGTTAAGATTGTCTAACATTGTAGATTCTTAATTATAAAATAATGATTATTTGTCACAGCGCACGAAATACGCCGAGTGACGCTAATTTTCTTAATCCATTCCAGTTAAGGGGATGATACTTTCAGGACGCTTTGTACATATTTTTAATATCGCATATTTAACATCGTCAAGCGTTGCGTAAAAAGTCCAACCAGTTTAATATATTCCGCCCGCGTTTTCCGTGACTATAAATTTGCATCGCGGCGAAAATCTCACCGCGCGGGAAGGGAAAAAAGAGAGCGGCGGAAGTTATTTTTCGCGAATATAACGCGATCGAGAGAGTCGTGCGCGACGCGAAAATGACTCCGTTTTGCATAAAAACGTTCGGTGCGCCGCCCGGCATCGTGTCGCGTCGCGTCGCGTCCCATCGCTTTGCGTCACGTCGGTCGCGTAATGCGCATAAATAAAACGCATAATAAACGCGAGAGGGAAAGAGGGAGGGGTTGAATTATGCGCGTGAGAGATAGAGCACGACCCCTCTCGTCTGCGGCCGACTGACATGGGAAATCCTTCGCGGGGCATAACAGCGTCGTGAAAAATATCCCGCAAAAAAAAAAAATGACGGCCTTATCGCGGCGAAACGCGAGCTATGCTTTTATTGGGATTGATAA